CACGCACTACAATTTACATAAAACATGAGCAACCTCACACATTTCTATCAACATAATCGTAAGCATCCTTGTAAAGTGTGAGTAGCCTCACACCCCTAGTCCTCATCCAGATGCGCGCCATGTGGCTCCTTGAGAGCCATGGGATCTGGTGACCATTGACTGGTCAGCATGCGCTCACTTTCTCCGTCAGTCCTCGTCAATGTTTCATCTCATTTGTTCATTTGTCCTACTTTCAATCAACGTCCCAAGATTAACTCTTGAGAGCACTTTTATTAGAATCAAGTGTCCCTGATCATTCTACCATGTTGTTAACCCATGTTCCTTCTCGGTTCCCGTTAGATAGTCAGTTCTCGTCTGACAATTAAATGAAATCCATTTATCGTCTGGTAGCCTACCTTAAAATCTGTAGTTCAAATAACATGGACATTGCATTTATCAATCATCGCATGATTTCGTAACATTGTCATGATCATATAAAGTATACATAACAGACATCATGCATACATCAAGCATAATCATATCAAACATGCATACATGCGTTACATTCAAACATATATGCCCATGAAAATTGTGGAAAATATCAAGGCGTGCTTACCAACTAAGACGCACTCAATATCTAAGATCCAAGCTCAGCATTATCCATTTTTCATACTATCACTATAGCTACCTCAGTTGAGAACAGACATAACTATCAAAAGTACCGCTATCAAAATTTCACTAGGCAAATTAGCTACAATTCATATCCAAAGCCTAGTCATCACAATCCTTTGGGTGTTATACTTTCAATTATCAAATTCAAACCTTTTCAAATTCAAACCTTTCAAACATCAATTTCATTTAGTTATCATATTATCATACCTCCATTGAGAACAGAAACAACTAGTATGTTGGAACTGCGCTAGGTGATATATCTACAATTTACATCTTTAGATTAGTTATCTAAGGTTAAATTATCAAACACATTTTCAAACATCAAACCCGCATTATTTATCCCCTAGGTTGTGATAAATATGAAAATCTGCGATATAGCTTACTATGTTAGTGTCGAAGCTTTAATAAGTTATCTATCTTTCAAACTCATGTTACCTACCCCCTAGGTTGTGGTAGGTACACTAAAATATGTGATATAGTTTATTGTGTTAGTCTCTAGAGACAATGGATTATCAAGTCTATGATATTTATCCTCTATGTCATGATAAATAGACAAGTCTATGTTATTCCTTACTATGTTGGTCTCGAAGCATTAGTAAGATATTTTCAACTTGTATCATTCACTCTCTAGGTTGTAGTAGATATATGAAATTTGTGATATAACTCATTGTGTTAGACTCGAAGCATCAATAAGTTATTTGTCTTTATGTGATATAGTTCATTGTGTTAGTCTCCAAGCGACAATGGATTATCAACTTTGTGTTATTCATCCCATGGGCTGTGATGAGTAGACGGAATTGGTGTTGTAAGTTTACTATGTTAGTCTCAAAATGTTAGTAAGTCAAATTTCAAAATGGTGTTATTTACCCTCTAGGTTGTGGTAAATATGCAATAACTGTGATATAACTTATTGCATCAGTCTCAAAGGAGCAATAAGTTATCTATCTTCAAGCTTGTGTCATTTACCTCCTAGGTTACGGTAAATGCGCAAAATCTGTGATTACTCTTCTAGGTGTTGACGAGTTATCTGCGTCATCATACCTAAGTCTATTATAATCTTTACTCGGGCATTGGTGAGTTAGCTGCATCATCCTCGCCTATTTCTTACTCTTAGGTATACTTTACAATTTATCCTTATCTAATAATCTTTTAGTCAACTCTTGGGGTCTTACATTATTTAATAACCCTTTGATCCGAATGTGCGAGACCTTCATATTCTCACATCCTCAATCAAAGAGCAATTAAATAAGGGCAACTGTCATACCCCAAATTTTTTGGCATTGGTGTAAACATTCATTTTCTTTTAATAAGAACTATTGGTTCATTTTTATTAATACTAATGTTTATTTTTATATTGACTTCTAAATTATCGTTTGTTTTAATAAAAGGAGGGTTCAATTTTGGGGAGGGTGTATGTTTCATAATTCATCGAATAGAGCTTGGTATTCTTAAGTTTAATCTAATGGCCCATTAGACTTTTAGGCCCATGTTTAATTTTTTTAAAATCTATATAAAGGGAGGTGTTTTTAGTTTGTTAGATGGCCCGTTTAAAAGCTTGGAAGAGGGCCCATTTATTTGGATTAAGGTTGACTAGAGTCAACTATTCTCATGTATAATTATGATTATTTGATGGTGATTATTTATTCTAATATTGTTGTTATTAAAAATATATATATGTTATTTTCTTTTTAGGTTAAGTTGACTCAGAGTCAGCGTTTCTTATATGATTAAATAAATATATTTTTAATTTTTATTTTGGTTTTAATTTATTTATATTATGAGTTGTGTTGACTGAGGTCAACTAGGGTAAAGAAACCCTAGATTCAGCGACGACACTGTTTCTCTTCTTTCCTAAGCAAACTCGAAGCCTAGTTCCAGAATGAAAATAAGTCAAATATTCATAAAAAATCAAATCTAATGAAGTTATTTGTTTTTATTGGTTAGAAAAATATTACAGATACAATTTTGGTCCAGATTCATCAACAGATTACAAGTCTAAAACAAAATCAAATCAAAATCCTAAATCTAATCCTTAATTCCTAAATCAATCTTCAGTCTAAAATTGTAACAAAAATCGAAATAATATTTCCTAATTCATCTAAAATCTAACCTATAAATAAAACCCTAAAACTAATTGAAAATGGGAGGAAAAATTTTAGCATTGGAAAACCCTTGAGATTCTTGTTGTGACGTATTCATACCCTTCACTAAAGCTCTCCATCTTTAAAGATTTAGGGTTTCACAACTGAAACCCTAAGTTCTTTGAGCTTAGCCCCAATTTCTCGTACCTGAAAAGAAGAAGAGGAAGAGATAAGAAGGGGATCATGGAAATAATTGTAGAAATCAAAAGCATAGAGATTCACAGCAAGGAGGTAGGGCACTTAGCTTTATAATTTGTTGTGATTGATGTTGTTGTGAGGTTATGTTTGTTTGAAGTTATTTGAGATCTGAAACTTAGGGTTAGGGTTTAGGCGATTTGGTATTTTGGGTATATGGATTTGTTTTTGCAGGTTGAGGAAGAATTTTCCGATTGATCTTCAACCAGAAAACACCAATTTGTGGGGGTTGGTGTGGTGGAATGTGGGGGTGGATTAAAGAGAAGAGAGAGCTCTTAGAGAGTGGAAGGGGTGTAGAGAGAGGGTGAAAAAACAAAAATGAACGAAATCTGAAGAAAACTAAAAAATATACTCCCTCCGTGATATTGCCAGATCGCGACACGTGGCCACTTGTCGGCCACGTGATTGGGTTGCTGAACAACAATCCCATCCGTTGTGTTCTACATGTTCCCTTAGTCAACTTTGCATCGTATCCGTCAGTTGCATTTACTTTGATATAACACCCCCGAGTTAACCTCGGGGGGTCACACGATCACCATCAAACAACAATATTAACGCAGCCTACGATAAGCCCATATGCTCACCCTTACGAGATTTAACGGACTCCGCAATATTTTTTCTTGAGCCCCAGGCTCGTTCCTAATTGCACCCCAGCTTATTTCTTTTACTATTATTAACCACAATTCATACCCCTCCCCCTGTACAATTGGATTATAAACAAACTATGGGCCTAGGCCCTTACTCCCAGCACCCCTGATTTTTGCCTCAAAGCTATAATTCACCCCCCCCCCCCCCCCCCCTGCGTTTTGGACCCAAACCAATAGTTGGGCTCAAGCTCTTGATATTTACACCCCCGGGAATTGCTACTATATTAAAAAAATACACCCCCTGTGTTTAAATTAATTAATTTCTTTTTTAATTTATTTAATTTGTTTATTTATTCTAAATTGCTTATTTAATCACTAATTTTCTTCTCATATTATTATCTTTTATTATTTTATCATGTTGTGTATTAAAATATTTTTGGCATTTTATCATAAAAACATTAATAAATAAATATTAAATTAATATTAAAAAAATATGTAATATATTTTTAATAATAAGAAAATAATTATTTATTGATTATTTTTCTAAAAAAACTAACCAAATTTTCTTTCCAAATTATCAATTAAAACTTTTTTTTTTACATATTGTATCATAAATTCTAAGACAGCTAACCCATCAAATACTAACATTTTTTCATTAATTTAATTTCAAATTCAACTTCTATTTCAAAAAAAGGATTGTGAATCTATTTATTATTAACTGCGAACCGCGTCTACGACTACGTTATTTTTAAACTCATACATGGTTCAAGGATTAATTTCAAACATTTTCACAATCCATAAAAAAAAACTAACAAAACACATACGAATTATGAATTGGGACTTTGATTCCTCATAAAAGGATACGTAGACACGAGGCTTAAAAACCAAGGTGAGTCCCCCAACTAAAAAACTAAATTCTTTTCTCAAACATATGAAAATAATAACTATTTAAATAGAAATGCTCGATTTACCCCCGAAACCTAGAAGTGGGACCCCTTGAGAACAAGAGAGATGAAGAGTGTCTAACACCTTCCCTTTATCTAACTGACTCATTTAGAATCTCTTACAAAATTAGAGTTATCAGTTCTTCCCCGTCCTTAGGACAAAAAGTAGTAGTGGCGACTCTCTTTTTTTTTTTGCCAGTTAACACAACGTGGACGGATGGGATGCAGCCGCAATAGGGTTGAGAAAATTTGAAGATGACATCTGATTGTGTGGAGATGGAATAGGATAAGAAGAAAAGGGTGAAACGTGTTTGCTTGGCCAGCTGTCTTTGTGCATGTCTTGAGCCGTGTGCAGAGAAGACACCTTAGTGGCACTCGTGTGAAAAGGTGAGTTAATCGTAGCGTGTATTGGTACTTTTACAAAACTTGGGGAGCTGCTGGAAGTGGATGATTAAGACTTTTGGTTTAGGAACTTACAAATTCTAAATTACTTCTCTCTTTCCTGGGTCTTCAAAACATTTTGCAGGTTAAAACTCTCTTTCTCATCAAACCACTGAACGTTGGTTATTCCTTTGTCACCCAGTGAGTGTGTTTGTTCTTATTCTTCCATCTTAGTGCTAACAGATGTGCCTTGAGTCCCAGGAGTCCCAGTAGCTTCCAGGGTGTGAGAGTCATCATCCAGATCTGTATAGTATGTCAGGTTGTTTTGAAGAGGGAGGGGACGGGAATCTGTAGCTGGAGTCTTGCCAAAATAGGGTCTCAAAAGAGACACATACACGACAAGATAAATACGGGAATATGAAGAAACTTCCAACATATAATCTACTTTTCTGATTTGCTTGATGATCATGAAAGGAACAAAAATCCTAGGAGTAAGTTTCTAAGATAGCCTTTGTGAACTGTGGTTTGTCTGTACGGCTGTAACTTGAGGAGAACATGATCCCCTGGTTGAAAGGTAAAATAAATCCTTTTGGTATTATCTTGTTTCTCCATTTGAACTTTTCTTTTTTGTAAATTTTCCTTTAACATGCTAAAAATATGTGTTCCTTGTTGCAAGGATTCATCAAGGGATTGTTCTTGGGTAGAACCGGCTAAATAATCGGTAATACTGGGTGTATCTCTGCCGTAAAGTGCTTTGAAAGGGGTCATTTCAATAGCTATGTGGAAGGACGTGTTATACCAGTACTCAACTAGATGAAGAAATTTGTACCAGTGATGGGGATGGTTGCTTACAAAACAACTAAGGTATGTCTCAACTGGTCTATTTACTACCTCTGTTTGGCTGTCAGTCTCGGGATGGTATGCAATACTATATTTTAATGTGGTCCCTTGTGCTTTGGGAAATTATTTCCAAAAGGTAATAAGGAACAAATGATCACGAACTGAGACTATGGACTTTGGGCATCCATGAAGATGAGCGATGTCAACCATGAAGTGGTTTGCGATGTCTTTTGCTGTGAATTTAGACGGTAGAGCAATAAAGTGAACATATTTTGTGAGACAATCGCAAATGACCCAAATACAAGTGTGGCCGAAATAATTTGGCGAGTGATGAAATCCATGGAGATGTCTTCCCACACCCTGTTTGGAATAGTTAATGTTCGGAGTAATCCCTTTTTCTTCTGAGTTAAATACTTTTTGTGTTGACAGATATCGCAATATTTGACCAAGTGTTTAACTTCTTTATAGATACCTGGACAAGAAAAAGATGCAGACACTCTTACAAGGGTTGCTTTAACACTGGAATATCCTACCGTCTGAGTGGCATGAAACTCGTGGAGAACACTTGTATGCAGCCTCTCGGTGTTAGGTATGAAGAGTTTTTCTTTGTAAAACAAGAGCCCATTCGAAAACTTATAAAACTTGTGTTCAATACCATTGTTAAGTATCTTAATAATGAGTCGTTTCCCTACACTATCTTTTGCATAAAACTCCCGCAATATGGACAAGAGATATGGAATTGGTGAAGAAAGGGAAAACAACAAAGACTCGTCAAAGGAGTATTTTTGGCTTAAGGCATCCACTACCACATTGGACTTACCAGGTTTGTAAAAAATTTCAAAATTGAACACTTGCAATTTGGTTGCTCATTTCTATTGTTTCGGAGTTTGAATTTTTTGGAGCAAAAAATTGCGCAGACTCTTTTGATTTTTGTAGATATAGAATTCTTGACCTATAAGGTATTGACTCCACTTCTTGACTACTTATGTTATATCAAACATTTCGTGGACATAAATTGAGGTTGCTTGCATTCGAGGCACATCTTTTTGCTGAAGAATGTGATAAGGTGACCATCTTGGGACAAAACAGCACCAATGGCTACTCTTGAATCATCAGTTTCAATAAGAAATTTCCTTGTAAAATTAGGTAGAGTTAAGACCGGCAGGTCGCTCATTCTTTATAATTTTGTAAAGGCCGCGGCCTCTTCTGTACCCCAAACAAACTTAGTGGAACGCAATAAATCGGTGAGAGGAGCGGTGAGTGAGGCATATTGTCGAGTAAAACAATGATAAAAACCAATAAGTCCCAAGAATCATCTGAGTTCCATGAGAGAACATGGTTGTGGCCAGTCCAAAATGGCCTCACCTTACCTGAATCTAGTGTAACAGTGCTCAAAGAAATACCATGTCCTAAATAATGAACTTTATTAACTGCATAAACATTAGACTCTAATAAGTCAAAGATAAGTTGTAAATGAATTAAGTGTTCAGTGAAATTAGCACTATAAATGAGAATATCATCAAAAAACACTAAATTTTTTTTTCTCAAGTAACGCCTCAAAAGATCATTCATGGCTGACTGAAAAGTAGAGGGAGTGTTTGTCAGGCCAAATGGCATGATAAGAAACTCATAGTGTTCATCGAAAGTACGAAAGGTTGTCTCATGTGTATCTTCTGATGCAACTCAGATCTGGTGATAGCCTGAGCGTAAGTCTAGTTTGGAGAAATCTTTGGCAGAGCCAAGTTTGTCTAGCAATTCATAAATTGTGGGTATGGGGAATCTGTATTTAATTGTTACTGCATTAAGAGCACGATAGTCGACACAAAACCGCCATGTGCCATCTTTTTTTTAATAAGTAAAACAAGGGACAAAAATGGATTGTGACTTGGGGTAATAATTCCTTCTTTGAGCATGTCCTCAATAATGGATGTCATAGTTGTTTTTGTGAATGTGGGTAACGGTAGGGATTAACATTGACATGGGGTGTTAGGAAGAAGGGTAATATGATGATCATGGGGTCTGGGTGGGGGAAGTCCAGATTGAGATTGAAAAACTGTTGGATAATGATGTAGGAGGTTGGAAAGATGAGGATTTAGATCAGGGGGTAAATCAGCCAGGGGATGAGGTTGTGGGGAAGTTTCAGTTGGAGTGGTTGATTGAAAAATCATTAGGTGTAAAGAAGAAATGAAGTTGGTAGGTATAAGGTGTTTAATTTGGTGAAAGGTGGTGTGAAGTGGTTGAGAGGCAGAATACCCTTGCAAAGTCATGAAAGTATTATTGTGTTTGAAAGTGATTGAAGGAATGGAAAAATCGGCTTGAATGGTACCTAGCGTGTGTAACCAAGCTATGCCTAGGACAACATTATCCCCTTCAATCGGAAGTAGGTAAAAAGGTAGGGTAAAAGGTTTTTGTCGGAAGATAATCCTAACATTGTTGCGAATTCCTTCACACTGTAAATGGGAGCCATTTCCCACCATAACTGAAAATTGGGAAATTGGGGTAGCTGCAAGGTTGAGATGATGGAAAATACGAGGTTGTAGTATATTGTGTGTGCTACTTGTATCAACTAACACCATGACTGGTAAACCACCAATCAACCCTTTGAATTTAAGTGTTTGAGGTGAAAATTGGTCGGTGATTGCTTGGGTAGAGAGCTGAAAATATGTATCAGTATGTTCTATTTGTGTTTCTTATTTCGGGTTATCGTTAACAATAGCTTGAGAATTCATAGGATCATCTTCAGCAAAAGAACTAGAAATCTGCTAGAAGAGAATTTATGACCAAGAGATAAACTTCTCATCACAATTAAACATAATCCTTGGGCCCTTCGCTCTTGTATTTGGGCTTGTGATAACCTTTTGATGGGTAGTCGTAGGGGTGGGTGGTGTAGGGAGGTTTGGGTTGAGGGGAATTTTGGGCTGAAGTGGTAGTCACGGGTTTGGCGTTGGATGTGGTTGGGTAGGTTGTAGATGGTTTGCTGTATAGGTTAGCATAAGGTTTGGAAAATTTAGGCTTGTCATCTTTAAGTTTTGCTTCAATTAATTTGGCTTGCCAATTGTTTGGGATATGTCGGTGGGTCTATGAATTGCCATTTCATTGCGAATTTTAGTGGACAGGCCAGAGATGAAATAGTTTAATATTGCATCTTGGGGTAATCCAATAACATGGCAGGGGAAATGATAAGGGAAATGTGGGTTTTACTCAAAGGTGTAGATGTAGGATTTTGAATAATACCCGGCAAACTCGCAGAACTATAAAGATTTGGAGGAGGTTGCTTCTCCTTTTGCATAGAGATATTGGTTATGGAAGACATGAGTGAATCAAAGCGGGAGTCTGTAATCTACTTGTCGTTGTCCAGACGTGTATGAATATGTCCCACGGTTTGCTGCAAATCTGCAACAGATTTGTCAAAATGTTGATCAAGTTGTTGTTGGTATCATTCATGGCATTGTCAAGGTGTATATGGGCTGTTTGGACAACTGTTTGAACAAATTCTTCTATAATATCTATGGAAGAAGGGTTGGTAGGTTTGGGAGGAGCCATGAGTGTAGAAGATGAAAGCACTAATTATAGACTATGGTAGGCTAAAATTTATATCTAAGAGGCATTAAAAGAAATTGACATAAGAAAAAACTTCATAACTTTCTTGTTTTCTTCATTCAACAATCTTACAATATAATTTGCTAGGGTTCCCACTACTAATGGGCCATGGGCCATATAATAAAACAACAAGGATGAAAATTAACTAGTAAATAATGCTAAGCACACCCTCTTTTTAATAATAAAAATTTCTAAGGAGAGTTGAAGTTTTCTTTTCTCTAATGGGCCTATTATACTTCTTATCATTTTGCAATAAAAATAAAATTAGTATCACATTTTATAATCAGAGTATATAATATTAGTGGGCTCTGATAAATCTTCATACATGTTAGTTCAGTAGGAGTGCATGTTTACACAATTATATAATAAAAAATATATTATTATTCTCATGTTGTCATATATTCTTGCGTGCACTGTAAATATGACATATTCTAAAAGGACTTCAAAATATATTCTAAGAAGTCTTATTCTATTATTCTGAGATAGATATAATTCTCTTAATCTCAGGAAACATCACTTGATGTTTAGATCAATATTGAAAAGACACAATAATTCTTTAACGTGCAATAATATTATGTTATTTTATCTTCAATAATCCATTTTTGTCGGGTCATAATATGAAAGTACAAGTAAATATCAATACTCATATATCAAATATGATATTGTATTATGAAGGTACCGATAAATGCAATTACTCTCGTAATAGGGTATGTCGATATGTAATTACTATTCTAAGACCCATGTAGATATTCTATGACCTTTAACTTAAAAACTCATTAGTAAATCACTAATCACAGACTTATACACATAAATCTTTGATATTTTGGGTTAGTGACAGTTACTCGTTAGCATATTCATATGCTTGAGACATTCTTTATAACATATTTCTCTTAACTTAAATATGTTACTCTAAATTCATCATTCTTTATATAAAATGTGATTCTTTAACAAGTATAATTTTTCCCCCATCGGATATAATTTATGCAATGTTGAAGCTTACGTCTTTTTTGATTGGTTAATATTTTGACCATTAAGGATATTATAATATTAAAAAATTTATTCTTAATAATTAATTATAGTAATCCAAGTGAAAGATTTTTAGATTAATTATTTAATTAATCAAATATGGATTTACATAATTAATTATTAATTAATCATATTATGGTCAATTGTTATTAAACACTAATTATTGATGAATTATTTGATTGAATTTTGTGCCTGAATGGATCGTGATGGATTGAACCATTAAGTTAAGCCTAATGAGAGGTTCATGCCATTAGTCTTTTAGTTATTTAAACATTACTCCATCAAATGATTAACATACTCTAAGCCCCTAGACAGTGATGAGGGTAGTAATACTCTCATGTTCACATGACGACAATTCTCTCATACTTATTCTCTTGAGGTAATCTCTCGAGTCCTAAAAGGTACATCGTTCTTATCATTGTTAATTATCATTTAATTTAACAATTGATAAGTTTAAATTGTAGTTATTTTTGTATATATGTTTTGTTACATTTATCGATTCTTTTTGTTAATATCTTTTGAATAAATTCCACTTTGTTTGTAAATATGTATAATATGTGTATAATCGTGTTTTTATGTAAATAGTATGCCTTTTGATAGTTTTCATTCACTTTGTAGGTATTGGTGCATGTTTGGAGCATTGAGCAATAAAGTGTTGAAGGCACGACTTTAAATACGCGTTTTTGGAAGAAAATAATCAGGAAGCCCGCTAAGCCCAAGTTGTAGCGTGCTAAAAGAAGTTTTATAGTGACAAGGTATGTGTTGTTGAACCCGATTACCCAGCTCAGTCCACTTAGCAGGGTCCCACTTAGCCAGCTTAACCCGCTTAGCGGGGTACCCTGAATCAGTGTAGATATTTTAGGTATTTTAGTGAGCCCGCTTAGCGGGGTCAGTTGTTTTGTTTTTTGTATAAATAGATCAAATCAGATTTCTAGGTTATGTTTTGGACATTTTGGAGTCCCGATTTATCACCTTTCATTCTTTGGTAGGATTGGCTAGAAAACAACATTTGGGTCTTGCATGTGGATAATTTGGAGGTGAATTTCTCATCAACCTGCACCGACAACCCGTGAGATGTTTAGTTTTCCTCTCTTCCTCTCTATGTATTTCTCTTTTGTTTGGTTATGTTTGTATATTTAATTTGAACATACGTATATGTATTGATCACGGTGTTGTATAAATCTTGCTTTACAAATCATTATTGTTGCTTTCCTTAATCTTTTTGCATTTATGTTTGGATTTGTGTTGTTGTAGAAATATACCTCACAAATCTTGATTAGGGAAGGAAATTTATTAGTTTCTAGTTCTAGAGATAGGTTTAGAGTTAATAATCACTTGGGTATCGAAGCTTAACGCTTTCGTGTTGTTGTTTCGCGCGAGATATCGTCGACGCGAGAATACATTTGTTCTCGTAATTTGGGTTAGATATAACCTTGGTTGTGATACGTCTTACAGGTGCTGTAGAAATAGACACTGATGTGAGATATACGCGATAATTTTAATGAGTATTGTAGGTTGAGTACAATTGATTGATACGTTTAAGTTTGCGATGAGTAGTTTACTTTCATGCCTGATAAGTTCTCCTCTCTGAAGAATGAATTTATTTTCTTGTTCATACGTTTTTACTTTAAACCATTCTAAACCAAAATCATAAACATGATACTTGTCGAACGTAAATTCAATATGCACTAATCCTTGTGGAGACGATATGATAAAACTAAATAAATACTTATTTTTGCTTGCTGTTTTACCGCTTCAACAATAATATTTTATAAACTGTTTTTATTTGATTCTTTTAAACTTATCATCCTTAGTCCCTGTTGTATCTCAAAATTTTTCCTCCCATTTTTCATTCATGATACTATCCTAGGATTTCTCGAATACTCAAATTGGCTCAGGATTAGATCAGACAAATTCCCCTCCTAGGCAGTGAGTCAACAATTAGGGTTTGGTGTTTTTCAAGCAAAATTGAGTTTCCAAAGTTTCAAACG